TGCGTAGGCGGCCTTCGGCCGCACTTATGCATTATAACCCTCACAAAGTAGAATTCTCTTTCTGTGTTGCGAAGAAAAGGCACTGACACCCCTTTAATAATTGTTGTAGTTGTTGTTTCCCAAAAAAAAAAAAATACATCGTTACACTCACCTCAATGATCTCTATCGATCCCCATATGAATTTTTTTAATTTTAGAATTGTACGTATTCTGCATTTATGCCTTTCTGGGTGATAAGGAACGCTCCTAATATGCGCCTTTGTAATTTGAGTTTATGACATTCGATACGATAGTAGAGTTCTAGTACTCGATTCAAAAAAAAAAAGATAATTTTAAAACTATCGAGTAAAAAATATCGGTATCGAATCCAAAAGTATCGATATGGTATCCGTATCGAAATTCGTGTTCCTAGGTAAGCGATATTAAAAGATAAATCTTTATAATAAAGTGGTAATAAATCAGGGAATATTTCAGAGATTGTGTTACTACAGTATTCAATGTATGTATATCGTATGTAACAAAAATGGTTTATTATTATTTCCTTACTGTAGCAAAAAATTATTAAGGTGGTCCATAATGCCTAATAGTCAGATGCCAACTCAAGTACGGTTCGAGAAACCCAAATTCTAATCTCGAATTATTTTGTTGCATGAACCACATTTCCATACACTTTCGAGTTTGGAACAAATTGTGCATAAATGTGCACCATAAATTGGCGACGTTTTTGTGAAGAGTGGCGTATCTGGATAAGACCACTCCTGATCGTTACGTATGGCATTTTTGCTATTATTGTAGTGCCATTGCTTATTGTAAATTCCGTAAAGGATGGCTTTACAAAAAAGGATCAATTTATTCTCATTGGGGGACTTTTTGTCTTGTCTGCTGTTCCAGTCTCAATTTGGCATATCATTCAACATGTAATACACTTTACAAAACCAATTTTGCAGAAGCATATTATACGAATTCTATGGATGGTGCCAATTTATGCTCTTAATGCCGTAAGTTTTGAATTCATTTATATTTATCTTTTTTTAATGTAGCCATTCTTGATTCCCCTAGTGGATTGGACTCTTTTTTCCAAAGCACTCTATTTATGTAGACTCTCTTCGGGAATGCTACGAAGCCTACGTGATATACAATTTTATGGTCTACCTATTACATTATCTTAACTTGGGAATGGACCTAGAAGCCACGATGGAATATAAGCCACAGGTGTACCATTTCTTTCCTCTTTGTTGCATGCGCCCTTGGCCCATGGGTCGCGAATTCATACATAACTGCAAGCACGGAATTCTTCAATACACGGTCGTCCGGCCTATAACCACTTTCATTTCTGTGTAAGTATATATGCAGGCCTGTTTGCTTAGCGAACAATTCATTTTAATTTGTTACGACACACAAAGGAGTACATATTTGCATAGTAAAACTGGTCAAAATTGATTTATATGTGTTTTCCTACCTAGTAGTTAAATAAATCATAAAGCTTAGTGATTTATAGGAGAAAAAAGACTACCTAGCAAAAACAGTCTCTAACGTTAAAGTGCCCATGATAACAGCATGCTAGCGCCATCAGTGTTGTTACCAGCCGATTGACCCTGTTGTTGTTGTTGTTGTTGTTGTTGTAGCGGCTACTAAGCCCCGTTCGGGGCGGTTCATCCATCAACGTTGTTGTTGTTGTTGTTGTAGCGGCTACAACGTTGTCGTCAATTTCAGCTAGGGGGAGGCCCAGGAAGTGTGCTACTTCCACAGGGGCTGTCCATAGGGACAGGGGCGTTAGCTGTGTATGTTCTTGTGGTGTGATTGTACCAGTTGCTGGTGCGATATCAAAAACGATTTGATATTTAGAACATGTGCAGTATAGCGGCCGTTGAGGAAAGAAAAAAAAGTGGTCGTGGTCCGCCCCTTTTTACCAGAGACATAACTGTTATAAGGAATATCAAAAAAAATTGGTCCATAACTATTAAATTAAATATAAATAAGATTTTGTTACTTTACATAATAGTTATTTTGAACCCAAAATAAGTGTTGCTCCCGTATAAGTGTTTTAATTAATTAATTAATTAATCCCAACGGCTTTTGTTGTTGTGTTATTCACAATATAATCGTTTTCCCGTCGCTCATAACTTTTATTTTCGTTTTTTTTTGCTTTTACGTCGCTCAGGTCACAGGTCTATTCCGGTCACGCATTTTAAAGTAGTAGAAAAGGTACTAATTATTTATTACTTTTAATCCGTTTGTGCATACTATTTCAAATTAAATGTAGGAAAATGTATAGTTACAAGCTTATAATGCAGCGTTTTTGCTGCATTTAAAATGCAACATTTAGCACTTTCGAACATATGTTTTCGAAGAGCGTTCATGCTATAGCATTTAGCAAATGTACATTTACGCGAGTTCGAAATCGTATGCTTTTGACAAACAGCCGTGTTCCAGTCGCTTATTCAGATCCGTATCTATTACGATAAATTCTCACGGAAAAGATAATGTCCAAAAATCCCTACAGAAAATGAAAAAATAAATTCTAAACCGAAAATTCAATACAAAAACTTGAATTGTTTTAACCATAACCAAACATTTGTTTGTGTATATATTCATTTGTCGGTGCTGTCAATTATAATTTCCACACTTAATTAGGAAACAAAACAAACAGAGTTGATCACAAATTAATCCAGATTTCTATCAGCATCATATCGATGTTTAATTTTCGTAACTTTTCTTTATCCAAATAATGTAAAATAATAAAGGAAATCTCGATCGGCGATCACTGAAACGCAGCTAGC